CCATGTCAGAGAGTGGTGGGCAATTGTGCAAAACGCCTACATGACATTATTTCTACTTAGAGGGAAAATACCAGCTTCTAAGGCCAAAGGCGTACTTGTGGTTTTTTACACGAAAGAACATTACATCCATTGATGTTGTTGTTTAATAAATCATTTTAGTGTGGTCAAGTACATTACCTTTATCAAATTAAGGATTAAAATTTGCTTGTCCAGATATGTCAAAGAAGCAATCATTTTCTAAGGCATGCACTTATTTTTCCACATGACTGTAATTGTATATAGTTCGATAGCACTTGCACTATGTTGGCACACTAATTTACACATTGTCCTTCAGATGCCCCCAATAGCCTATTTCACCCTAATGCTGCTTAGTGCAACACATATCCCCCTAGCTCAGCTACTTGTATTAGCAGGTGTTTGTGGTAGATAAGTTTTTCTGTGAGATGATGGGTTAGAATCACCTTTAAGTATATACAGTAAACACTCTTTCATTATTAAAGCGATTCACTGGTATTGCACAGAATATTATCAGGGCACTTATGTGTGTACATTCAGTTGCAGAAATTTTATCCATGTGTTTTATTGATTTTTTTTTTCCTGGTGCAGATGCAAGAGAATGTGTTAGACACGTCTCCAGGCATCTAATTTACTATGACCACTGACAATATTGACACGTGAGGAATAGAGCTGGATTGAAAAAAATATATCACAACACGCGTGGCAGACGAGATCAGACGTGTTTTCGGCAACATTTTAGGTTACATTATCTTGGATTTGTTTTATATCTCATCAGTTGCACCACTGTCTATCTGGAAAGGTATGAATAGCCTTAATAAATGAATAGAAAATCCTGTGTCCAGTCCTGGATAAAGCTTTGTAGTTCAGCCACCGTAATACTCTGAATATTAGGCACTGACCCACATCTGCTCTTATACAGGTTACATCGAGTCCCAGATGCAGGCCCAGCTGTTGCCATGTATTATCTCACTGACTGACCCTGATGTTTTATGTTAAATGCAAGACAAAACATTAGCATAGGCTAATCCAGCCGAGCCATAGGATGCAAGTTGACCAAAAACCACAATGTAATAATGACAACAATAATAATACCTATAATAGCCTGTTCCTTTCCTGCCCTCTGAGTCAGTGTAATGAATATTCAGCTGCCAACCTTGCCCCCATTCTCTAACCAGTTTTACCCTCGGCAGCCACCACTGCTCTTCCTACAGTAGCATAGGTAAGAATAATGACTCCTCAGTCATTATTATTTATTCAGTGTTGCTTCAGCATGGTGCATGTAAATGAAGAAGTGGGCAGAGAGAGCTATAGGCTGCCTGGAGAGTTAACCCGAGTAATGAATGTAATTATAGTGCCCTATTGGACCTCTGTCTGTTTTAGCAAAGTTATCATTTTGACAGTTTGTTCCACATTCATAAGAGAGCTTTTGGGAGTAAACTATACGTTTCCCTTCCTATACAAATTTCACTACTCAACAAAGAAATCCATCCGTGTAATTACGGGTGAAATTTCTTTTTACTGTCCTCTTTCAATTAATCCCCAGCCTGTACATGTAAGGTATATAAACTCCAGGATTGTGTTAGTGGCTATCAGTGAATTTAGTGACACTTACACCAAAGACAGCAGCGAGATTTGGAAAGGAGGAAGAGAGGGAGAGAGAAATTGGTGTGTCAGAGGTTTTGGATTCAAAGATAATGTTGATGATGATTAGAATATTGATCCTGAAAACCCACCTGTTATAAAAGAAGCAGTGGAAAGCCACCCACACATTGTCATTAGTCATCACCAGCTCCTTACAGCCTACTGCAGTACATGCTGCCACCCATGATTTAGCTCTCCATCCAGTTATGAGGGGGTGTTAAGCGTTTATTATGCAGCACAGTCCCAGTCCCAATGAGATGGCAGAATGTTGCCCGATCAATACCCCTCACAGGAAGCCAGGTTAATTTATTTTTTAAGGATTTGCTAGCATCTCTAAGGGCCCCCCCTCCTCGCTGCAGTTTGTGACGCAAGCTATTTCCTAAAGATCTGCAGAGTGATGTTTTGTCACTGACGTGCACGCCACTGCACAGGCGCTACACGCTGGGACGTCAACATGCATTCCCTATTTTTGCATGCTGTGTTGTGCTTTGTGATTGTGGTTTTCTTAATGACTGTGCTGTTTTAAGTAATGAGTGCTCGTTGATTGATAGAGTGGCCAAAACGTGCATATTGGGAATTCAGCAAGTAACTACCTGTACAGTTTGACTGGACAGGGTCTCTGCGTTGATGTGTTTGACCTTTAGTTCTCACCTTCACCATATGTACACAATGCCCCACTTTCTGCACACCACACCACTTCAGAATTTTCTCATTTCATTGTTGTGACCTTTACTCCTTATGTCAGTACCTCTGCCCTCACAGCCATCATTCATTCTTTTCGCGACTTCTCATCTCAGTATTACTCTTATTATTGCCTCACAAAATAGCATGACTGTTGTGGCTATTTATAACCACACATGTGCGTAACTGCATGGACACACACACACCACATGCTCGAATTTGCACACATAAGTTACAAGACAATAGTTTTAGACCTATTAGCATGTGCACAGTACATACAGCCCCCATATATCCTCTGGCTGGCAAACAGCTGCAGCTCCGCAATATTATGCCCTTCTGCCTGACTGCTCTTAAGCAAACGCACAATCTCACACTTTTTTTTTTTTTTTCTTTCTTCTGACTGAACAGTGATCTGATTTTTGTAGGACAGTCACCAAATCACCCACGTCAAGCACTTATTATTTTTTCAAATCAGTTATGGATTTCCATATAAATCAACCGTATCATTTTCAACCATCAGTTTACGCTTGAAAATGTGAGGGAGAGATGAATACATTTGTTATCGCTATGATCATTTTGGTTACCACTCATCTGTATTGATTCTGACTGAGCATCATCAATCAGGGCATTTATAATAGATGCTGTCTGAGAGCACACATCTTCCCTCGGGGAATTATCACCCCAGGCTTAGGTCAAGCAGAGATTTGATCTGTTGTCGGTTAGATTAATTGATGTTTTTCTCTACGTATACTGTGGCTTACAGACCCGCACAGAAAGAGAGAGGGTAGAGGGAGAATGAAGGTAAAGGTGAGTAGGGATAGAGACAAGTCCAAAGTAGTTTAACGTCAGCCTGGAGGACTCAAAGCTTTTAAAATATTCAAAGCCATTCTCCATCACCTTTTGCCCTGGTTGCTTGTTTAAGAAAGGAGTGAAATGAAATCAATAGTCGTGCCAGTCTGGCCTCTATACCAGGCAGCATCCAATATTTATACAAATGAAGCCTCACCACCTCAAATTTACCCTGCCTTTGCATGTTTAAGGTGCTGTGAAGGACTCGGAGGGGGCAAAATTTCTGGACAGGATGTGAGGATGAGGAGTGCAAAATAAATCTCTGTCCCCATCACGCCGCCTGCCTTACTTACAGCAGTCATTTGCATTCGCATGATTTGACAGGTTATGATTAACAGCTATGTTGAGTCTTAAAGTGGGACACCTTTGCTACCATAAATAAGAAACAGATCATAAATCCCACATGGGATCAACGTGAAGCTATTATCCCTTCCTAAAACATACCTCCTAAAAAATAACTGCAAAGTTTAGTACTTTTGCGACTTTAGCGCTACATGCAGGCTATTAACTAAGTTGTTCCCTAGAGCTAACCCTCTGCTATCTTTGCTACAGTTTTCCTTTTACTGGTTGTACAATATAAAAACAATAATAGTGTTCATTATGAATTCACTACTAAAAGATACAAGAAAGGTAATAGTTTACATTTAGTAGAAATAGTAAAAAGAAAAACATAATTTTAATTAATAACGTTTTATTTGTTTCCCAACACACAAAAAACTACTAGGTGTGGGGTTTCTTTAAAATTGTAGCCCAACTCCAGGAGGTTAATCAAGCTGTTAATAGCCAATAACATCAAAGTACATTATGGCCATCGTGTTTCATTTTGACAATAAAATGTAGCTTTTGAAAATTGCTCACACCTTTATTTTTCACCCTGCATGAGACATTTCCTTAGACATTGGTTTGATGTTAATGATTAATACAGCGTTGATTTTTTACTGAGGTCAGTTTCAGATTATCATTCAGCGCCATTTGGAACGGATATGTGTGAAGACAAATTCCCTGAACATGATCGCGAGCAGAAAATCACATACAAATATACAGATAAGGTATAGTTTGAAAATGATGGAATTTTAAAGGTAATATTTTATAATAATTGTTTGAAGTCATATTTTATTCACGTAGCATTGTGCGATTACTGGCACTTGCATTTGTTGAAGGATAAAATTAGAAATACATTTACATGTATTGCAAAACACTGATTTCCCAGCATATCCTTCACATTAATACGAATGATTAGTAAGTGATGGGATTTTACCTGAGAGAAATCCTATGAGCTGTGGGAGGAAAAGAAGGTAATTTAATATGGATATTCTGTGGCTCACTTCGTCAGTCCCTCCAGCATTTGGTAATCTTGTGATTACAACACAAATTTGATAAATTACTGGGTTGAATACCTGAAATATTTCTCCAAAACACTGTCAAAACATTTGCCCATTTTAGCAATCACTGATTTTTAGTATTTCATGTCAGCCCTAATGAGTAGTAGCACAGTTCAAGGAAGATTAATCCTCAGCCCGTGCAAAACATTTTTTTTTTCAGACACATTATTGCCTAAGGGACCTTAAATCCTTTTCATATCTTCTCAGGGTTGGCTTACTCCCAGGATCTATATCACCCCTAACCAGAGTCCACCAATTTCAAACACACCAAACCATCTCTGACCTATAAGAACCAATCAAGTCTTACCCGTTTTCCGGATCCTTTGTTGCATATTGTTCAAAGAACACCAGCTATACTTCAAATGTTACTGAAGGATTTGAAGATTTAAAGAATATATTGGAACTAATTACGTAATGATTGTCAATGAGTTCTTAAAACATTTTTATTCCTGCTGACTTACAAGTTGTAAACATTATCTTAATTTATCGCAAAATAACACAAAATGATGCAAATTGATGCATTGATCTTTTTCATAAAAAGCTGCTGCAAATTCAGTATATCGATGTTGCCCCTGCTGTGGAAGTTTGCAGAACATGGTGCACAATAGGTAAAAATGCAGCCACAGTATGAGAATATGCACACTAGAGAGCAGTCTGTTCCCTCTTTCTGCAGTCGATGTGATCCTCCATCTCCCTCTCACACAACATACTGTTCATGTCAAAGGGCCCAGGAAACACAACATCTGTCAGTGCACTAATTTACACAATGAACACCAGAGGAAGAAGGATATATATATACACCTCTAAATGGCCATGTATTCAACAAACATTTTACATCACATGAAAACACAGTGGCGAATATTGTATGTGCAAATCTTCCTTGAAGCTGGTGAATTTTTTTTTTTTTCTTTTTTTTTTCCTTTTTTCCCAGTGGTTCTGATTACTACTTGAATTGCATTTGGATCAAAGTATGCATGGTTTAGATGATCGTTGACTTTAGTGTGCTTGATTCATTAATAGGAGGCAGCATTCCTCTGTGAAAGCCAAAGAGTGAGAAGCAATGAGAGGCATAGCTTTAGATCTTTGACACTGCTTTCTTTACTTGGATGGTACACAAATAGTGGTATAATAAAATGAAAATATGCTAACTAATTAAAATGAAATAGATCATTTGAATCTATTCACAGATAGGCAATGGGAAAGGGCAAAAAAAAAAACCAAAAAAAAAACACTGATAGCGAGCCAACACAATGAATGATAAAACAACAAATGTGAATAAAACAGAGAAGAGATCTAAAATTCAGACCATGAATTTTACATTGGAGATGAGATGCAGATTTCCCTCTGCCCCTTTAATTTATTAATTTATTTATTTAGTATTTCATCTCTCTTTTTTTTCTTTTCTTTTTTTTGGTTCGATACACTGCAGAGTCATGGCTCTCCAGTCCACGAGCGCAAAGACTGCGTCTATTGTCATTCATCCTCTCTGACAGGCTTCTCACGTACAAATGAGTTTACTGTGAATATCAATTCATTTATTTAAACTTTTTTTTTTTTTTTTGTAGTTTACAAAAGAAATAGATTATCTTTTTTTCATTTTTTATCCACACTTGCACTTCTTCTTTTAACATATTTTACACAGACTTTTATTTTTACATTTTTAATTAAACTTAAACATGTTTTTATTATTTTAAATGCTTGTCAAATATTGTGTGTACCATAATACAAATGGTTTGATTTTTTTTCCTTTTTTTTTTCTTCTTTGTGTGTCCCCAGTTTGTTTTTAAACAATAATTAAATGTCCTGAAGTAGAAAGACACATTAAAGCTCAAATATCCATCCATGAGAGAAAAGCCTCAGTGCCCACAATGTATTCCTCTCTGTGTTTCTTCAAAACATCAACAGGTCCAAGAGTCAGATGCCCATTATGCCCTGTGACTTCAGATCAGCAGTAGATAGCAGTAGCAGTAAATCCACCACAAAATAGTCAGCCACATAAAGCACGTTTCCTCCACATCACAGTGAGATGCTGTGTAAAAAGTGTCCAAAAGATCCAATTATTCCTTCTGTCCCACAATATCCCCCTCCCCAGTGTATCCAAAAAGGGATTTACTGTATATCCAGATAATCACAGGTAAAGACTTACTCAAGAAAGCAGGGTCACACCTCACATTCCCGAGAAGGTTGCTGTTGGCAAGTGCAAGAGCCATATTCATTGATGATTACCAAAGCTCCCTCAATGTGGTTAGGTTTATAGTCAACGTAGTACTCCGGTGTAGAAATTGCAGCCATCTGCTGCATGCTTTGCTTTTGCTTCTGCTTACGGCGCTGACTGCTGAAGCACTGCCTCAGTTGCCTTATTCCAGCTGGAAAGCACTTCCATGCCACGTACAGCATGAGCACTATGATGAGAAAGGAAAAGATGAGTGCCATGGTGCCAGTCACCACCTTGTGGATCTGCATGGTGCTCTCCACGTCATCGTGGCCCACTGTGACAGTAAAAGAACTGGTGACCACCTCACTACCTTCGCCCTCGTAAGGGTTGGGGGTAAATGGGCCCAGGAACACAGAACCACCCTGGGCCAGATCCCTTGTGGAGGCGTACAGGCCTGCTGTGGTTACCTCTGTTGGGGGATCCTCACATAGCTGAAAAGCATAGACAGCATCCAACACATCCTCGCCCTGTGCAGTGTCAGGGCTTGAGCACAGCAGGGAATTGTCACGCTGGCCTCTGAAGGCACTCAGCCAAGAGGCCAAGGCACACACATTGCGACTGCATTCCCAGTCATTCCCTGCCAGGGTAATGCTGTCCAGAGATGACCACGAATCCAGGATGCGCTGGTCCACAGAGGTCAAACGATTGGAGTCTAGCATCAGCACCTTGAGGTTGGGTGCGCTCTCAAAAACATGTGGCTCAATGTACTCGATTTCATTGGCTGACAGGTCAATCTTCTCTAAAAAATGCCATGTCCAGTCCAGGGTGTTGACAACAATAGTGGCGTGATTGTTGTGCATGTACAGAGTACGTAAAGAGATGAGGCGAGGGAAGTGGGCTAGGTTGACTTTAACCAGCTCATTGTGCTCAAGATGCAACTCAGTCAACTTGAAGAGGCCAGCAAATGAGTTACGTGCCAGGCTCTGCAGTTGGTTGTATCCCAAGTCCAGAAACTGCATGCTCCTGCAGTCTTGAAAAATCCGCACTGGCACAAATTTGAGAGCATTGTAGCGCAAATGCAAATTGGTGAGCTTTCTAAGGCCGTGGAACAGGTCGGGCTCAAGTGCCTGCAGCCTGTTGTATGAGAGGTCCAGGATACGCAGGTTTGGGAGGGGCCTAAAGGTACCATTTGGCAGACTTTCAATCCGGTTGCTGCTCAGGTCTAACTCCTTGACCCGTCTTAGCCTGTCAAATGCACCCTCCTCTACAATGTCAATGTTGTTGTGATCTAGGTAGAGCCAGGTGAGCTGTGACAGACCAGCCAGTTGGCCTTCACGCAGCTCGGTCAAGTTGTTCTCTCTCATGGACAGGCCCGTGGCACTGCTCAGATTGCGGGGAATGTCTGTGAGGTTGAGCCCTTCGCAGTACAGCAGCTTGCTGTCGCAGCGGCACAGCCTTGGACAAACCCCCTCCACCAAGGGAACAGTTCTCAGAAAAATGCCCAATGAACACAGTATCAACCCAGGGGGCTTCTTCAGTGGCCACTTTAGGTACAGTCCAATTAGAAGGAAATCCATTAGCATAAATATCCAGGGATGTCAGGGAGAAAATGTCCATTGAACCACGCTGGATTATGTTTTTGCACCTATCAGATATTATTTATCACATCATATTTAAATAATTTAATAATCTGCCTCGTTCTGTCCTCGTATTTTAGCTGCAGACAGTGATGATATATTTTTTGTTATTCAGTCCAAGGGAATCCTTTTCGAAAGTGCAAAGAATAAAGAGCAAGTCTCTTTGCTTATATTAGATATCAAGCGGTGGGTGGAGAGAAGAGGGGATGAAAATAAAACTGTCCTCGCTGATCGATCTTATTCGAAAAGATTCCTACTCACCCCTATCCAAAAGCTGACAATCTCCATTCAGCATCTTGCTTTGTGCCCCAACACTAATTATGTGCGAATCTAAAAAAGACCCCACTGTGGTACAAATTCTCCCCCCCTCCCTCCTCTCTTTTCAGTGGACACCAGATCCTTGGCAGGCTTACAATGTCTTAGTTCTCTTCAAGTGAAAGAGCCAGAAAGAGAAGGAATCCAAGTAGCTTTCAGCGAGATGGTAGGAAGTGCAAGTTCCCCTGTCTGCATGCATGAGCTCTGTCTCTTTTGCTCCTCCGCAGTCCTCTGCTGCAATGATCAGAGGGAAGAAGAGACAACCACAGAAAGGGAAAAAAAAAAAAAAAAGACCAAGGAAGAATCTTTTAAAATATCAGTCTCTGCTCTCCTCCCCTCCCTGCTTAAGTTTCAGCAAATCTGTCAAAATGTATTATCGTCCATCTCTGGAAGAAATCACTGACTTGTAAGGTTTAAATCCATTCAAGCGGTTAATCATGCTTTCAGTGACGGATGCAAGAAAAAAAAAAAAAAAAAAAAACAGGATTTAAAGAGGTGAACCCTGTTCACTGTTTTCTTGTGTAACAGTATTCCTTGTCATCTCTGTGGCTCATGTCGGTTAAGAAGCCGCTCGCATCCCCAGTGGCTCGCAGGTTTCGTTCACTCCCTTGCTCTCCGGGTGTTTTCTCAGCCAGCTGGAAGAGGCTGCTGAAGGCTGGTGCTGGTAGGCAGGCAGGGGCGGTAAATGTGGGAAGCAAAGGAGCGCGCAATCCCTTGCAGCAGACCAGTACACTGACAGCGCATGCAGAAGCACCTTCTGTTCACTGAGTGTCGTAAGCCACTCACAATTCAGAGTGCTCGCTCTCTTTCCCTCATTCTCTTGCTCTCTTTCCCTTGATCGCTCACTCACTTGTTCATGCTGCTCCCCTCCTCCTCCTCCTCTCTCTCTCGCATCCTCCCTCCTTGCTTTTCTCTTGCTGTGTTTTTCTCTGTGCCTCAGACATTTACATATCCAGAATGGGCTGGGCTTAAACCAGGAGCTTTAATGAACCCCCCCACTCCCACCCCCCCTCTCTCTCTCGCTCTCTCTCTCTCATCCTCTCTCCTACATTCTCTCTCTCTCTCTCCCTCTTTCCCTCCCTCACTGGCTGACTGTAATGAAAGGGACCTATTTTGACGTCGCTATCAGAAAGCAGTTTTCTGATTTCAGAGTTAAAATGTGCAACATAGAAAAGGACATACTGTATTCGTTCAACCTCTAAAGCAGAGCATATTAATAATCAGATAACCATGTATATATATATAGTTCATGACCATATCCACGTAACATACAGCACTTTTTAATTTCACTAACGATGCTATTTAAATGTACTTATCATTATGAATGTTTGTCATGTGTCATATATGACTTTGTGTAGTGAATCAGTCTCAATCTATTGATGTTCCTTGTTTAGCCTTGCCAACAATAAAAGATAGAGCATAATGATTCAAGACCAGAGTATGACATTCTTCATTTAATCAAACAGTCTCGTAGCCAGGCATTCTATGTCATTGTCAATTATGGCTAGGCTTTCCATTCTGAATACAGATGTAACTGCTTGCCACATAATATTAGCATAAAGCTATAACATAAATATTCTTCTCAGAAGGTTCACTCTTGTCTTTGTACTTCTCTGGAATAACTGCGAGCCTTGTCATCGTTCTTCCATTAATTTTCAAAGACAATGAGATGCGACTGTGTCCTACATTGCTCATATCATAACAGTTTCTAAACATCTGACCTTTTTTTTTTTTTCCTGTCTGAGTTGACTATATATTTACTGACAGAAATTATTCCTTGCTTATTTATTAAAAAAATAAATAATCTCATGCTGCCATCACAATCCAGGCTGATTGACATAAATATATAGAGGTAAATATAGGGTATATTCAAACAATAAATATTATGAAAATTTGTTTCGGGGCTTTTGGTGTGGTGTTAGCATTCCTAATTGAGAGATTTTCCACAAGTTCTACTTTATTTTATTACAATTACCAACTGTATCTTACAGACAGTAAATTAAAACAAAACGAAAGTGTTTTGCTTTGCAGTTCTGCAGATAGCAGGGTAGATTAAATGGTCTAAAGAGCATCTCATCAAACAAAACAGTCCCCTCCCAGTGGTATAACCCATTACTGCAACAAGAGTACAGGCCTGCTCAGTCTGTTAACACAAGCAACAATTTAAATAGTTGTCTGTCATGCAAACCTGTGCTTTACTGTATAGGAATTATTCAAAGGCTAAAGTTTGAGTGTGGATTTCTGTAGCTGTCTGTATCCTAATCTCTGACTATATCTACAGATGTCCTTTTAGCTTACATAAGAAAGCAGCAACTGTGCCAGTTTAGTGCCAAATGCGTTGGTATTGTCACAGTTTTTTTAGAGGAGCAGGAAGGAGAGCTTAGACAGAACAAGGCAGGCAGGAACAGTTTGGGTGAATTATTTTAAAATGTGAGGTAGATACGTGCAGGCAGGCAGGCAGGCAAGTGGGCAAGTAGGTAACTGGAACAGCCATAAACCAGACGACAACCGTGGGACAACTGGGAAGTAAGATGACACATGTATGAATTAGTTTGGGAAAGAACAGTGGCAAGATGGCAGGTGTAATACAATGAAACTGATTGGTGGATTGACAACAGGTGAGGTGGGTGTGAGGGTCATGTGACTGGAACCAGGAAGAGAGACTGAGGACATCTAGTGGGTGTATACAGTGTCACATGAGGCAGTGGTGGAGCAGTGAAAGCTAAAGTGGGTTCAGACTGAAAATGTGACACTTAACATGTATCCATTTGTTTGCAAGATGTGTTTTCTTCTTCAGTACACGATTATATGATATCTTTAACACTATAAACTGTAATTTTTTTTCCTTACCGTTGTTCCAATTTTGTTAACTTCTTTGTTGGCAATCAGATGCATACATTTCTACAGAGCGCACATCTGTGTTCAGGCATCCTAAAGAGTATCTTTTACGGATACTACGCTTTGCCGTTCAGAGTTTAAATCTCCCCATACATGTTTAAATAGTTGGAAGTCTGAAAGTTGGGTTCACAGTCGGGCTGCTATCCTGATAGAAAATGAACCGCCTTGCACAGAAAATGAATGTAAAAAGGTCAGTTATGGTCAATATGAAGCTGATCTTTCACGAGACTGAACAGAGATGATGAAGCACGTGAACATAGTGGGTTAACATCATCTGGGTGTCTGTAGTTGAGCAGAGGCTAGCTTCAAAATGGGCTGGGAGTTTGACTGTCTGTGTAATTACAGTAATTATACCAAGGAATCATAACTACCTAACAGCCTTGTACTTGCTATGACCCTGTCTGGCACGCCACAGCTTTGCTCAATATGCCACCAGGGGCTACACAATACTCAATTTCCCCTTCACACTTTGTGATTTTGGGCTGTCTGAGATGCGTCATGAGAGAAACATGGTCAAATCTGTGGTTATCAATCTAAACCTGTGAGACAGCGAAGGCTATGGTAGCTTCAGTGGCCGCAGAGAGCTTGTTGTTAGACAGGCTCTGAAATTTGAGATCAGATTGTTACACTGTGACTGATGCTATGACCGACATCTACAAGCCAGCCAGTTAGTAGATGGCATTAAATGATGCAGCATACAATGGCCCACGCAACATGTCAAACATGCACAAACCAGCGCAACGCAGGCAACAAGAAGAACAAAAAAACCTTTAGTCTCAAACAATAAACACAGCACAAATAATCAGACAAGTTGACAGTATGCCAATAAACCTGCATGATTATTAATGTCACACAGTGTTAAGGTGTTTGTAGAGGCAACATGAAAGTTGTTAACATCTGTGTTAAAAGAACTGACAGTTAATGTCACTTCTGGTTGAACTACAACTAAAAATATAAAACAGAAGTATGTGTATTAGGTAAGATATGATGTTTTTTTCTGTAGCTTTTTGTCCCAATTTCCTATTTTTAAATTTTTATTATTATTTTTTTTAAATTATAGAAACGGATTTGCAGTTAATAGGCAATACATTTATTCTGTCATTGTATCAAAATAAAGTTGGTGGAGGGAAAAAGGTGGGCCAGGATGCAATAATTGTGAATGTTGCCACAATTTTTTTAATCCAATTATCATATTTTGCGGAAAAATATACTTTCCCTAGATTTAATCCAATTTAGTATTTTGACTATGACCATCGAAGTTTTGACAGCAGCAAAGATATATTGGGCAGCAAAGGAAAGGGAAGAAAAGCTGTCCTTCACTTGATCTGGACATCTTGAAGTTTGAATCATCTCGGCTTCACCTTTGCTATATCCCCTCTTAGCTGTAATGGATAACTACACCATCAGCTAATGACATGGTGCACTATAATGACTTGACACAGCGAACAGGAGATGAGAGTATCCAGACCATCAGTTTAAGACTTTACTGTGAGAGCTTTGGCTCTTTGCTTTGGAGTTGAGGTCAGCACGAGTCTGAGTGAAAGTGTGACTGTATATTTGGGCAGGAAACACACACACACACACACACACACACAATCATACAGTCTGATAATTTTACAAAGTGGTGGTGGATAAGCATTTTTATTTTTTTTTAACTGATAAATAGCATTACTAAAAAAAAAATAAAAATGTTTTAGCTCAATTCATAACCATAAAAAACAAACAAAAAAACAAAAGTTTCATTATCTTACATTATTGTCTCTCACAGGCACTACTGATGCCTTTTTTTGTTTTGCCTAAAAAATGTTTTGGATGATTGCTGCGCGAGCAATTAGCTGATGATAATCGTGCTGAGCTTTAAGCACATAGTTTGCTTAGAGACATTTTGTCTGTAATATATATTTTTTGATTTAAGTATATTACATATCTTACATTAAGACTGTGTGTATTTGATCTTGTCAGTTAGGAAGCCATTAAGATTTTAAAACTTCAGGTACTAATATACGTTGTTATGCGAAAAACACATTTTGTATCCCGCCAGCAATGCCACACTGCTAGCTGTTGTGTTTTTCTGGAAACAACATCCGTCAACGTGCTGGCCTACATCTTTAAAAAGCCTTGCAGCTGTGGATGAAAGGCTTCAGTTTGTGGCGACGTTCGTCTGGACTTGCGAGTTTTGTTAAAGCATGTTCTGCAACCAAGCATGTAAAATTCCAATTAACGTCTAAACCCTGTGTCCTAAGTGAATCAGGTAACCACTTTACTTTTTAGGTTTCATAAACAGTTGTCCGTCTTGGTGTGTTTTGAGCAGAATGAATTGATTTAAGGGATCAAATAAGACTCAGAATTATCAGCAT